GAGGTCACCCCTGAGCCTCTTCTCCAGGCTGACCAAGCCCAACTCCCTCAGCCCTTGCCCATGTGCTCTAGCCCTTTGCTGCCCTCGTTGCCCTTGGCTGGACTCAGACAGAATCATGTTCAATGCTCTCTTATTAATTCTCACAATAGACAATGAAACAAAACATTCCTGTAACTCTATTGATAAGTCTCAAAAACACTTTGTGGGAAAAGGCTGATTAACATGTGGGATAAACAGATAAAATGTTTTAATATTATCTATACAGAGCAAGATGCTGCATCTTCTGAAACAGGTCCCACCTTCAGAAGAACATCAGTAACTTCAGTGCATCTTGGAAGACCAAATTAGCACAAAGAGAAGAAATAGAAATTATTCAATGCTGGTAATTGAGGATACAAAATGTTGTACTGTTGGCAGATCTCTCAGCCAGAGCAAAAGCAGTACAGCAAGTAGGTGTAAAACACCTGTGTGAAGAGGCAAAAAATGCTGTGTGATGGGGAAAGGATAAGAAGGAATGGGCTTGACCTGACCTGCAGGAAGAGACGTTTAGGATAGGCACCAGGAAAAACCTTCTCACAGCAAGGACTAGTCAGGCTACCCATGGCAGCTGGAGAGTTTCACTGTTTGAATCATGTTTTAAAGCTAGTTCAGAGGCAGCTAAGGGGTTAGGTACAACATGTTCTGCTTTTGGGGTCATAGAATCATAGAATTTAAGGGTTGGAATGGACCTCAGAGACCATCTAGTCCCAACCCCCTGTCCTGGGCAGGGACACCTCCCACTAGATCAGGTTGGTCAAGGCCTCATCCATGGCTACACAAGCACTTTCAAGAAGGCAGTGAGTATTCCTTGGGGTACAAAGAGAAGAGCAATTCTAAACTAGGAAACACAATAAGCATAAGCCAATTATATTTAATCATAACTTTAATTTTTCTGTTAGCTAAATGCATTCAAAATATTTGTGAATGATAATTAAAAAGAGAAATATTAACTGAAAATTATATGCCTCTTTTCCACTAATAGTTGAGTAATCTATTTCGTAAGTAACCAAATTCTGTAGACTTGGATTTTGGCTGTTCAGATCACAAAGCCAAGTGCTGCTGTGGCATCACCCAACTTGCACAGATGGTAAGTCTGGAGAAATGTTCTATGAAATAACCAGCTGTTGGAACGTTGCCACAGAGAAAAGATTTTCTTCCTAGCTCCAACTCCAGCTGCTTTGTCAAGAACTAAGCGATATTCTGACCAAAGACCTTTGATATAGACAGCTGGCAGTTAATTAACACAGAAAATTACAACTGCCATAAAATGAAAAGGAGATTAGGATTTATAAAAACGCTATTAATACACAGAACTGGCCATAGAAAACTCCTGCTAAACATCTTCTAACCTGAACCCAAACCTGATCATTCATTTTCACGTCTCCATAGGACACAGTGGTGCAGACAACTGTTCCTTTGCGAAATGACCTCTCCAATTAAATGTACAGCTTTCTTTTATGCAGGAAGTTGTGCTGGAATCTCTGGAATTATCTGCAGCTCGAGTCATGTTTATATCTAGCTGCTTACAGAATGGTGACCCCTTGGTAGCTTACTCAAAGGAATGGCATTCATGACTGCTGAAAAGAATCTCAGCTATCTGCTGTCTCCATGCATAAAGCAGTTTCTCCTGGAGTTGGGCAATGTCTTATTCTAAACAAGAGGAAGCAATAACACTTTGCTTTCTCCACCTGAAATCCCATCCCTGATGTCATTTCATTTTGAAAGTCTAATAAGCCTTTAAAAACCTGTATTCACTGCTTTATTTTACTTCCAAATGCACGACTAAAATCCACCTTTCAAACAGGCACAAACCAAATGACACTGAAATAGGAAATCAAGGACATCACTACCAAGACCAGGCCTCAGGAAATCTCTGACCCAGGAGACAAGGGAAAAAGAATGGTGGAAGGAAGACTTTCCCTTGGCAGAGGGTTGGGTTAGAGATCACCTAGACAAACTTGACACCTACAAGTCCACGGGCTCTGGTGAGATGAATCCATGAGTGCTGAGGGAGCTGACAGACACCATGGCCAGGCCACTCATGATTACTGCTGAAAGGTCACAGAGACCAGGGGAGGTATCTGAGGACTGGAAGAAAGACAACAGGCTGTCCATGAGTCAACAGTGTGTCCTTGTGGCCAAGGCCAATAGTATCCTGGGACGCATTAGGAAGGACATTGCCAGCAGGTCGAGGGATGTGATCCTGCCTCTCTGCTCAGCCCTGGTAAGGCCTCACCTGGAGTGTTGTGTCCAGTTCGGGGCCCCCCTGTTCAAGAAAGGTAAGGAACTACTGGAGAGAGTCCAGGGGAGGGCAACAAAGATGATAAGGGGACTGCAGCATCTCTTTGATGAGGAAAGGCTGAGGGAGCTGAGCCTGTTCAGCCTTGAGAAGAGACAACTGAGAGGGACCTCATCAATATGCATGAGTATCTGAAGGGAGGGTGCCAAGAGGATGCAGCCAGGTTCTTCTCAGTGGTGCCAAAAAGGCTTCAGAAAGAACAGACTACGCTGATCCCATTTTTCCCTAAGCGGAGGGCAAAATGCACTAGAACAGAAAGGAAAGAGCAGGTTCAGGAGGAAGTGTGGAGTCAAGGAAATATGTAAGGGAAAGAAGCAAGCAAGCACTTGCTTTGGCCATCATCAGTCTGAAAAAGAATGCGAATGGTTGTTGAATTTCTGGAAGAAACAGACAAGAAGACATGGAGGTCTTAATGCAAAGCCTACAAAACACTGGTTGTGCTGTGCATGCTCTGTGCTGAAGCATTTTTCTACAGGCTGTGGAAACATAGCTAAGGTGAAAATGTGTCAGAATACGTCCAGTAACTCATCCCTTTAATTTCAGCCAGTCAACTGAAAGTAACGATAATGACCAAATTAGTGCTTATATCTCACATTCACTTTTCCTTCTCATCAATTAAATGAGTGTTTAATACTTACCATACATGAAAGGCTGTTGTGTAACCTATATTACAGCAGCACTAAAAGTTATGGAGCTCATTATTCTGTATGTAATTACTGCATGCATTATGGCCTAACTTACCATCACGGGTCACCTCTATGACATAGAGTCCTTCTTCTGAACCGATGGCTATCCTATCTCGATCTAAACCAAGAGGGGGGAAAAAAAGGCATTAATTCAGCTATACTTAATCTCATCTCTAAACCAGACTTTGCTTTGAACAGCTGAAATTTCTGGACAAACAGATTTTCAGTAGCAAATCAATTTTGCTGCAGTTCCCAGTCTGCCAAAAGCACCAACCTTAATTTTGTTTTCTGCTTTTATTGTTCTTGGTTTGGTGGATGAGGAAATCTGAGTATCATTGCAAGATTAATATTTCCCCCCCATTATTAAATCCTATCAAGGAATGCAGCTGAGGAATTTATTTCAAGCCCATCTAAAAGCTCCAACAACCTTCACACACTTATAAAAGTTTAACCAAACATACCTACAATAGCAGCAGCTAAACTGGCTTTAATAAGAGGCAGTGTACTGTCATAGGCTTCTTGTGGAATATGCACAACCTGGTTCCTCAGTCTATTTTTGTGCAGGATGGACTGCAACCCTTCTAGAATTCCAACCCACTTTCTCTTCTCGTTCTCATTTTCCGTCAGGATCAGTAGAGAACAAGACTTTGAAGGCAAACCTAAGAGAGAAGCTGTCACCTTTTAACAGCCAAAGAAAGGGAAATTAGTTAGAGTGATAAAAGCCCTTTTAGTCACACAAAACTGTGAAAATAAAATACACTTTTTCAGAACAATATGGGGCACACACAACATAGCTAATATGACCAGAGTGCTTCAGAAAACCCCAAACAACCAAAACAACAACACTGCACAAGCCACAGTGGTTATATTTAAAAGTATTCAGTCTTGCTTAATCATTCTGAATCCTAAAATATGGACAAGGAATGGCAGTAAAAGGCTCCTACCTAGTCTGAACTGGAATTTCAGTACCACACCATAGCTTGTCCTGATCCCTCTCCCACTGCCTAACAGGTTTGAATAACTCACTCAAAGTGACACACATGCTTTCTGAGCTAGATGCATTTAAACCCCAAGACATTGCTATGCTCATTTCTAGATTTTGATTTTGCTACTTAATCTTCAAAATATTTGTCCAGGGGGAAGAGGACATCCTATCTGCATTCAAAGCTCTGGAGGAAAACAATGTTTGAGACTGAAGTCTGTGTTCTCCTATGTATCTATGTTAAAACATAATCACTATGGCTTCATTTAATTTATAGGAAAAACATCCTACAGATCTCAAAGCAGAATGAATTCTAACCAGAAAAACTATCCATGGACTTCTGCTGCCTGAAGTATGCACTTACTGATTCTTAATCTTAGTTTTTTGTCCTGTATGGAGAGACTGAAGGGTTTGAGGTCATGGGAACTACATTTGCAACCACAGCCAGCCAGTATCAGCCCTCACCACAGATTTTTAGAGCAACAATAGCTAAACAGAAAAAAGTAATCAAAGGTGTAAAAGTGCAGATCTGAATGCTGTAACATGGGCCTACAGCTGACATGCCTTGGTAAGAAAATCATCACAAAGATGCATCATGTGGTTGTGCAACACACACTTCCTAAAAGAGTGAATTAAACAGTAACACTCATCTTGAAGATAAAATATATCTGAAAATAAACCTGAGACAATAGGATGTCAAAGAGAAAACTCCAGAAGTAAGAAGAAAGTGAAGGGAGGTAAGAAAAGAACCAAGTAGTCTGCAGTTGCTCATAGCTCTAATTACTCTGCATTGAGCTTTGTTCATATCTAAACTGTAACTAAGCATTAATATTTTAAAGACAGATGGAGGCATAATGGGTAATATTTCTAAGTCAGAAAACAAAACAAAACCAGATTCTAGCTATGGTTTTCCCTTTGAAGTGTCACCATGTATTAGTCCTCAGTCTTTTGTAGGTGGTGTCAAATGCAGAAACATTGTGAGGAGTTGGTCATAATATACCTTGCATTATTCATCATGCAAAAACCCAGTATTTGCTGGGACACTCGAGGCATCTTAACTCAAACTCATGTACTCCACTACATTCTCTCTTAAACTGTTAGCACAAACGCATAGCAACAGCAGTGTCTGAGAGCCAGGACAGCCTAATATCCAGCTTTGTCTGAGACAAGTTCTTCCCCTTCTTGAATTCATGGAGGGTCAGAGGTAGCAATATTTTGGTGTTTGGCAGCATTCTGGTATTGATTTCTGCTGGTAGAAGATCCAAAAGAAATGAAAATCTGTCTTTGGTGAGACACCAATATCATCACGTGTTGTGCAGCGACACACGTGAAAGCAGGATCAGATTTTTACACAGATGACGTGAAGAAACAGTTTTAACCATTGTATAGAAGCTGTTCTGTGTCATGTCAGCAAGATTTAAATCTAGAATTAAGTCAAATTGAGAAAAGAGAGTCTCACATCAGATATTAGTGGTTTCCAGTTTGAGAAATTCCGTCTTTGGAAGGAGGAGATAGAAGTGAGGTGACTTCAGCAGCCTCTCTCTGGTTTTAGGGTATCTAAAAGGAAATACTCACACACCAGGCTTCCACCTAACTCATCAGGTCTCTTTAGTAGGGGAAAATCTGACTAAACCAAGGGAGATCACAGAATCATAGAATCAACTGGATTAGAAAAGACTTCCAAGGTCATCAAGTACAACCCTACCGTGGTCATTAGACCATGGCACTAAGTGCCACATCCAGTCTCAGCTTGAAAACCTCCAGGGATGGTGAATCCACCACCTCCCTGGGCAGCACATTCCAATGCCTGAGCACTCTCTCCCTAAAAAATCTCTTCCTAATATCCAACCTAACCCTCCCCTGGCAGAGCTCGAGTTTGTGCCCTCTTGTCCTCCTGCTTTTAACAGCAGGAACTTTTAACAGTTCCTACTGCTATAAACTAAATATGGGATTCGGATTACACATATCAAATAATACACCATGCCATAACATGTATCAAAGAGGGTATTATAACTCAGCTAATTATTTTCTCTTATTTTAATTTTCCTACTCTACATAAACATGAAGTGAAGCAAACTGAAATTTCAAATGATTTTTTAAATAGAAGATAATACATAGCAAACTAGGTTCAGTGAGTAAGAGCTTCAGACTATTTCTGTTACAGCATCAGTTCCTATAGCCAAAGGTAAGAAAATAAAAACAAAATCTGGTAATACCAATGGAAGAATAGACAAAATGTACTGAATTATAATAAAGAAAATTAAAAAAGCCAAACTTTATACAGAAGGAAGCGGCAAAAGAAGGAGAATTTTGTTCTTTACATCAGTTAGAGAAGTACCATATTGTTCTTCTACACATTTCAGCACCCTTTGTAAATTCTTACACTTCTGCATAACTTAAGCAATGTTAAATATGGATAACATATGTCACTATCACAAACCAGTGGTATTTCACTTGTATTTTCTAGAAGAGCAATTTGGTAGCCATACCCTGAATATGCAAGGGATGTCTTTACGAGTTGCATGTATTACATCCGATGCTAGGACAGAGCTCACACAGAAATCTTCATCTCTGGGAAGAAAGGGAGCAAGAGAATCACATACAAGCACATACTAACATCATGCAGCAAAATCTAATTTGATGTCACCACTGTCTCAACAGGCTGCAATCTCCTAACACTGCACAGAGGTCACAACTGCTGCTTCGTTATGCTCTATCCATCCTTGACCCAACCAACTCACAAGCTTCAGTTATGTTTCTACAGCATTCAGGAAGTGTAACCCAGTCCACCTGAAGTTGACTGGGGTGGCTTTGTGTAGTTTTGGTGTACCAACCACACCTATTCTACAATTAGAAGCAAGAATATTGCTCTTCCAGCCCAGCAGACACATTAGAAATGAATAACTCATACCTCAATGTGTAGCAAGAGAGGGGCCTTTGGAAAAAAAGAAAAATCACATAAAAAGCTCTTGGCAACATAATTATAGTTTGTGGGATTCAAATAAGGCTTTTCAAAACAGCTAGATTTTATTCTTTATTACAGTAAAATAAACAGACATCAGAACAACTTTTGCATTTCACAGTGCTCCACCCCAGAGGGTTTGTCCACACAAGCCTTTGCAAACTAGATTTGACCAAGCTGATCACCATAATTGCCAATTTTAGTGCAAAGATGACACTAATGCCTGAAACTTGCCCATGCTAGAATTCATATCTGTGGGGGTTAACATCTATTAAAAACATCGAAGAATCCCCAGGAGACAGCCTCAAAGAGGCAGCCACATTAAGGAGATAAAGCATGGGACAGTTGGTGCAATATCTGGCTGAGGTGCTTCAAGCAATGCACTGATGTGAAGGCTATTTGCAGTATTTCCATGTTTCTGCTCCCTCTTCCAGAGAGGGCTGACACTGGCAGCTCTCAGACGCTGAGTGTGAGAACAGCACAGCACTACTGGTGTAACCCTGTGGTACTACTGCCTGGGAAAAACAGGAATCAAGGTTCCTGTGAATGTAAACTTTCAATGCAACAGAGACACAAAGGTGCTGTAACATTCAAAGGTATTACACCTTCTCGATATCTCCATAAACTGAAAGAAGAAACCTTCTGAGCTACTCTGATCAATGAAAGTCTCAGATCTTTAGCAGACAGGTCCAGTGATTCAAATCGCTCTCCATGAAATAACAGCTCCTGTGAGAAGGCAGGGTCAGAGCCACTTGCAGTGTAAAGTAGTTGGTGGTTTTCTGCTGACTGCTTCAGTTTTGCTGATATTCCTGAAATTACTGGCTATGGGATGATCTATGACTCAGTGTTGAGGTTAGAGGGCACAGGAAAAGCAATCTACCAAAGTACATTTGCTTTCCACAGGTGCACAGGGAATCCTAGGAAGAAGCATGCTAATGCTGTAAATATTGGTGATTGCACTATAAGTGACTTAAGGGACTTCTTGTTGAGCCACCTCACTCAGCCTAAATTTAGCTGCAGTCTGTATACAAAACACATGTATCTTCTTAGACCAGAGGTCTCATAATCCTATATTTTCTTGTGTACTATAAATAAATACTCCTGTTAGGAAAAATATATAGTGAGGATTTCTACTCTGCCATAATAATACAAACCTGAGATCCAAGACTTGACTTGCCACAACTCCAGGCTGGGTGGACTTTCCTTCAGGCACATCATATAAGAAGAGTTTGCAGTCACAGACAACTGCATAAGCTCTCTGCCACCCTTTCTTAACTCCTGTAGGCTTTGGGACCTGTGTATAAATAACTGATTGCTTATTGAATGTAAGCACATGCAGTAGACACAGAAGGAAGGACATTTAGAAAAGCTTATACTTAGATCAATGGAATTAGAACACGTTCTCCTTGCCCTTCAAAATAGTATGAAAAATGTCAAGCAATCAAGCAATCATTTTTCCTCTCGAGTTCAATGACTCCCTGTTACAGTTTAATAAATGTATCAGGTAGTATTAGACTTGTATAATCCGCAGATGCTAAAATGGTAGGAGAGTTTACTTTTTATATTAGGCTTACATCAACAATGACAGAAATTCTTCCTTAAACCATCCTTTATTTTTCCCCCCGCTGCTTATGAACATTGCAGCTACAAATTTACTTCAGCTCTTGTAGTAAAACCAAACATTTCTCCCACATCTAAAGCTATGAAGGTTAAGTAAGTTACATAGATGGCACACAGAGCCTTAAGGCTCTAGCACTATTTAGGAGCTCTGTTTAAACATCCTTAGAGGTTCCAAGATGCATAGCTAGAAGGGAAGTGTGGTATTGCTCTCTTGCCCAAGAACAAAAGACTTACCTTGACATAACCTTTATAGGCAGTTCCTATTCCTCTTTGCACATCTACTCCGAGAGGCCTTTTGGCTTGCTCAGGGGGTATAGGGCAGACCTGAGGTGCACTATCCTTGCAGGAAACATGGCATGCAAATGAACACACTAAGTACAAAAGAGAAAACTCACAGTGAAATGCATGTATGAGTCAATCAGAACAGGTGATTAATGTAGCCTACCTTTTTGCTCAGCAAATTAATTAATCACACTGCAACTGGCAGTCAAATACTGCAATAGCTCACTATGCTGAAGGAGTGAACACACCTAGGTATTGTGTGAGACTCTCCAAAGTGCTTCTGTTTCCTCCCTTAAGCCTACTACATCCATAAAGGGCAGGAACCGAGTCCACATTTCAAGGCAACTTAGGAAGCATTTTCCAAAAGGAAAAGAAGTCGGGCAGCTTTGCTGCAGATAAGCACCAACTAACCCAGTCACAGCAGGAGAGGGGCAGGACACTGTGGACTATCCTGTGCTTCCTCTCAGCCATGTTCTCAGAAGTGGGCAGCCAGCAGACAGCCTAGGTACATCTACTCCTGTAGTTATGAAGTGTCAAAGGGTTCCAGAAAACCTGGAAACAGGCTGCTACAGCCACAGGCTGGGCAACAAACCTCCTCCTGGTGATGCCTGAGGGAAGAGACAGGAGAGAGGGCAGCCCAGCACAGGCTGCCTGGATTGTTCTCTGAGCTCCAGTCTGCTCCCAGGAGGACAGGGGTTACCATAAAGTCATACATGCAAAATACTCTAGGTGCTCCCCAAGACCAGGTGATAAATTGAGCTCTCAGGAGGCACTGTAATTATTTGGGAATATCAAGGCATAAGGACAGGGAAAACCCACAGGATACAGTCAGTTCCACAGGCCCCTGGAAGTATTGCTGTATTTTACCATAGTCTCCAGCATTAAAAAGAAGAGGAATTGGGAAAAGCAAGCAATTAGGAATGGAACATGGCAAAGTTTTGTTCTGCTGGAGTCATCTCTATTCTTATGTCAATGTGATTCTAGTTTTTTTTCCATAGCTATCAAGTTCTGCTGTAGAATAGGCAAACTGGAAAGCTAATGATGCAGAGCTTAATCAAAATACATGAGAGGAATAAAAAAAGAGTGAAGCTGATATCTACACTTAGGGAAAAAGACAGTTTCAAGCTTGCAGGAAGAGATGCAAAACAGGAGTTCAGAACTGTCAGCAACAAGAGACAAAAGGCAGCCCCAGGGCTTGTGCTGGCAGAGTGATAGGTCCTCCCAGGGAAGAACTGCCACCAGATCTGCCAGGAAACAAAGCCCTGAAGGGCAGATGAGGCAACCTGAATGTGATACTGAGGGCGTCAGTGGAGAGGGTGTCACTATCAAGAACTAAGCTGGGCACAGAAATACAATCAGGTTATTTATACTTGCAGTGTCTTCAACAGATTTGTGGACTGTTTAACTGAGTTCATGTGTCTAATGAAGATACAATGAGTATTTTCAAATAAAAACACCCCCATATACTCAAACATGGAATTCACTAGTGACACATGCATCAGAGAAGGCATTTTAAGTAAAACTAATGGACAGCAAGGCAGCACCAGGAGAAATAACCCAGCAAAATGGTCCTCCCAACACACAGGGTTATGATCAGATTAGCACAAAACAGACATCATCAGAGTCACGTTATCAGATCACTCCTGTAGTCTTCTCTCCTACAGCAACAGAAACCAGCCCTTCCTTCTCCACCCCCTCCCTCACACTGCACCAGCACTAATGGTGCCAGAATTAATTAGTAATATGAAAGGAAGCCATACTTCATCATCCATCATCATCATACTTCTTACAGGGACTTTAGAGGTGTGACGATAATGCAAAAGAAAGGAGAACCATTCAGTGGCAGCCACCCCCCTCTTTCTTCCCCTCCCCAGAGAAAGGGTTGCCTTAAAATACATTATGTTTGTGATACTTTTTAAGGGACTTGCAGAAAAACATGCGGAGTTTCACTGACTCACCATCACAGGCATAACCTTGTCGAACTAATCCCACCATCAGAGAGGTGCAATGACTACACTGGGTAGGGCTTGTGAACGACTTGATATTGAACTGGTGAGCTTTAGGCTGAAAGATACATTCAGGATAAAAAATAACTTCATTTTCTGGACTTTTGCAATGCAAACACCTCCCTTCACCACCCCCCAGTAGACCAGTGTGTACATTATATAAAACCTGGGATTCTTTTTAAGTATGTGCAGCTTGTAAAAGGTGCTGCAAGATAACAGTCACAGTTTTATTTCCAACTGCATAAGACACTCAAACCCAAACCTACAACCAGGTCTGGAGAAGGGACTGAGGAGAGAGCACATGGCTGGATACAACTTCCTCAGGGAAGGAAGTGCAGGAACAGCACTGACCTCTTCTCTCTGGCCACCATGGACTGGACCCAGGGAATGGGCTGAAGTTGTGTCAGGGGAGGGTTAGGCTGGAGATTAGCAACTGGTTCTTCTTCCCCCAGAGGTGTTTGGGCACTGAACAGCTCCCCAGGGCAGTGTCACAGCCCCAAGGCTGACAGAGCTCCAGAGGTGTTTGGCCAATGCTCTCAGGCACAGGGTGTGATTGTCAGGGATGTCTGTGCAGGGCAGGAGTTGGACTGGATGGTCCTCAAGGGTCTCTTCCAACTCTGATCATTCTGTGAACTACTTTTTGTCATCCCTCCCAACAAAACCCAACCCACTGATATGCATTTGGAAACATCTGATTAAAAACACAGACCTAACAAACAAACACGTGACAAACCCAAACAGGACAAGAACAAACACAAAGGGCTAATTTATAAACTCTATTTCTTCCTTTGTTCTTTAGAATAAGGTTAGCACAGTCCCCCTACCTTTGGTACAGCTAGAGAAATGGACTGAATGGTGGGGGAAGGAGCAGCAGGCATCCTCTGAAGCCGAATTGGTTCCTGAATCACAAGAAATTGTAATTGAGCAAAATAAGGCTTCAAGAATTTGCTTCAGGATCGGGGTGGCAAAGCTTCTTGCTTTCTGATTTTTTGTGTCTTTTTTTTTTTTTTTTAGGAATTACCAAAAATTCAATCGCTGTAAACATTGCCATTGTGATTTAACAGCAGCAGATTGTGATTTGAAGCACTCACAGGAAAGCCTGCATACTAACAAACAAGCAGCAATACAGAAAACATGCGAAAATGAGGTACATCAACATACATAAAGCCAGTGAAAAGGGTTCATTTGCAACTGTCCTCAAAGCAGGTGCAATTAACACTGAGACATTGCAAATAAGCAGCATTCAATCCTGTTGCTTCACAGTGAATGCTGCAATATGTATTTATAGTGAGCAAGACAGACTTTCTAGGGAATTGCTCTCCAGGGTAAAATAACAGCTCTTACTTCTTGTTGTTGCTCTGCAGTTACAACTGAAGTAGATGGTGAAACTTCTGACTTGGGACCCTGCATTTCCTGCTCACTAATAGAACTGGTCTGCAAAAGCAACAGCAAACGTGTTAGATTAGATGCCACATGTCTGATGAAGTGTTCTCACATCCACGAAAGGGAAACAAAGAACAGTGCTGATCTCTATATGAAGTACACAGACACCTAACGACCTTCCACTCTGGAAAAAATCTTTCCTCAAAAACAAACCCTGCCACCTGATGGAAAAGCTGGAAGTACTGAAATTGCCAAATAAACAGCATAAAGGCTGTAAGAGTTGTCTTCTCCCAGCAAGGCTGTGTCTAATTTCCTGCATACAGGTATGGAAAGATGTTTGAGAAGCCTGGCAATCACCTCTCAAATAGCTGATTTCTCATGGTAGTTTACCACACTGAAATTTTTCTAGCACACAGCAAGTCTTGCCACCAGAAAAATTCCTAGAGTAGTACTACTCAGACTTCTAAGAAGCTGTTTAATAAATGGTTGGCGTCTGTCATGAAAGGAATCATGTCTACTTAATCACATATTTCAGTAAAATTTAAAGCATACAAGCCATCTATTAATTTCGCACTTAAATTAGCAACTACTAATTGCCAGCACAAGGGGGAAGTATGCTACAATTCCAGAGCTAAAGCAGCTGGGTGTGGAAGTAGGATTCTGTATTACTGTACTCTGAGGACATCATGAAAACCATGATTAACAAACATCAGATTAGACTTCACATCAATGATGCAATTAGCACTAAAGGCAACAAGTAATGAATCACTCACTTCCCAGCCAGTTTAGACAGGAAGACAGCTCGAGTTCAATTAGCTCACTAAATATGCTCAGATATTGGTTATTTTTGTTTTGTTACAAATTGACTGGTAGGGCTGGGCCATTTAAGACCAAATTGCACCATTAGGTAATAGGAATGATTTCAAAATGTGAAGTGGGATTCAGCTTTAGCCAGATAGATAAACTATAAAACAGTGAGCCTCTGAAGAGGTTTAGTGGATTAAGTCACAGAGAAATGAAGGAAGCAAAATATCTAGTTTTAGAGGGCCATTTTTACTATGACAGGTCACAACAAAATAAGGACACAGAACTACTAGCAAAAACTTACTTCTTCCCAAAAGGCTAGCAGAGAAGATGTAGACGAAGAAGAAACAGAATCCTTTGTTGTAACAGATATGAGGGATAAAAACGATCACTTATCACCCACAGAAGAACTTCAGATAGAATATTACTTGGCTAGCTAAATAAAATATTCTATATGGCCAAATGATATTTATTCAGACTAACTTAACCCAGAGCAGATGACACAAACTATCTTTTTAAGTACATGTGCAAAAAACCCTGTTAATGTAAGTCACTAAGCACAGTCACAGCAATTTTAATGGAACTCATCAGAAAATGCCATCTGCACTTCCATAGGGATTGTGTATTTATTTCAGAACCTGTGGAATGGAACCTTCATTAGTTCTGTGCTTGATATTCTACAGGTTACAGGTTTAAGTATATCTGCTACTTTTTAAAGCAATGTTTTAAAACACCAAGGTCAGTAGATAAAAGTTACAGTTGATAGCATTAAATCATGTTTCTCTCTTCCCTCCACCTCACACAGCACATTTTGCTGCTTCAGCAAGAACAGCCAGTGTGGACATTTTGTGGCTGGGAACAGCACATACACAATTGTTTGCAGATATCACTGCACGCCCATAGGCTTTTTATTTTTAGCACCAGTGACAATTCAAAAAACACTAAGAGAGAATACACATCTCAGATAGAAAATCTAACTAGACTGATGAGGTTTTAACCTGAGCCCCTTTAGCAGATTATTCTTTCCAGTTCAAGCTCTTGGTTTTATCCTAAACTGCCTATGCTTTGCAAAATATAATGCAAAAAACATCCAGAAAAATCTTCATGGATCAACAGTTCATGAAGTAAGGAAATGTGATTCAATGTTGCATTTAACAGCTGCTTCCTCAGGGAACCCACAAATCATCTCAAGTGAAACGCCTACTTGGAGCTGTGATTTGTATGATTAGTTTTCTAAGGATCACAGGGTGTGTCATGATAAACTTATTACACCAACATCTGTGGGCCCTCTGATTGTCTTCCCAGCTCCTTCTGCTCTAACCACTCCATGAAGAACTGGAGCCAACAGTTTTACATATCTGTTTAAACACTCCTTGAACTGTGTGAACACTTTGCCTGGTAATAACTAGCACCTTCCCACTGCAAAGCAGTTAATCCCTCATTTGTAACAGGGTGCCCCAGCTTTTCCAAAAAAAAAAAAAACCCCAGAATATTTAGCCAAATGTTTGAGATTAACCTCAACAAAGAAGCCAGAATGAGAACTAAATTAATGTGACCTTCTGAGGATATTTCCCAAAGGTGCCAGCTTCCCTACAAAATGCCAAGCAATCTGATATCTACTGGGCATCCAATTCTGTGCCACATTGACTTGGCTAATATGCCAAATCCAAACGTGCCATGTAGTGTCTAAGAGTTACTTTTACATAAGCAAAATATACTTCGGTTATCACATTTTTATAGATATTATGATGCAGCAACTCACTCTGAAAGTCAAATCACGTGCAAGAGGAGAAGTGTTGAAATATTCAAAAATGGAATCTTGAAAGTCTGGAAGTTTGAGACCTAAAAGCAAAAGCAGAACAGGCTTGGCTAAGACGCAACATCACAGGTGGTGTTAGAACTCTGTGAAAACGCAGTAACTTTAATTACCTGAATCTGTTCGGTATTTTTCTTCCAGTTTTTTCTTCAAACCTTCCATCTCTTCCAACAGTTCTCTGTTTTTCGCTTCTGATTCCTTTAATTTACTGAAGTGACACAACGTGATCAAAATACAATCTGAAATGTCTCACAGGCAGGGATGCCAGGGCACAAGGTTGGTAATTTCTGGGCCTACATGTCATAGTTTTGAGAAATGCCTTTTTTTTTGTGGGGGTTTTTTTTTTTTTAGGAGCTTTGGTTTTTTAAAGGATTCTTTGACTTTTCACCTGAATAGGCACCTCACTACTTGACTAGCTAAAGCTGTACTTGAGATTTCTGTTATCAGTGCAGGTATCTGCCTAAAAAAATTATTCCAACAGCAGTTTGACTTTTACTTTCCAAGACTATGTCTACTCTCCAGCAAGTCTAAGAAACAAGTACTGAATTTGCTTTGAATTTGCTCTTAAGGCATTTCTCTTCCTCAGATGCTCAAGATTTGTATCTTACTTGAAGAAATTTTTACAGTTCTCATTTGACAGTGCAAGAGCAGTGTAGTCTATGCAATGGGATATCCCATGCACAAGGCACTACTTAAAGAAAGCTTCTACTATTCTAACCAGCAGTTTAGAGCAGTACATTGGAACCCAAACAGAACCAAAGCCCTTATTACCTTTCAAAAGATATGTTTGCATCTTTAACTTTCCGTAGCTCTTCTTGAACTAGTTGTTTGGCACGAATTTCTGCATCAAGGGCAGACTGTAATTCCAGCCTAGCTGACATGTCCAACTTCTGACTGCGTCTCACTTTCCAAAGTGGATCCTGTTGTAGTAAGTTACTGAATATTAGTATCAACTGTTTAATGATATTTCTGTTCTTGTCCAAAGACATAAATTAGCTTTTAGATTAGTTCAGAGAATACTCCTTTCATTAGTTATGGACAGTTAACCTGCTGCTTGAAAAATCAGTCAATAGTCAGACTTCATTACACAAAAAAAGTGAGGAGCAATTTTAATGTTGGTTTAACATTTAAAACAATATTTAGGTCTAGATCACATGTTGCATGAGGAAGGGCTGAGGGAGTTGGGTTTGTTCAGCCTGGAGAAGAGGCTCAGGGGTGACCTCATGGCTCTCTGCAACTCCCTGCCAGGGTTGGAGAGAAAGGATAGAGGGAATGGCCTTGAGCTGAGCCAGGGCAGAGTCAGATTGGATGTGAGGAGAAATGTTTTCCCTGGGAGGGTGTTGAAGCACTGGGATATTGCCCAGGGAGGTGGTGCAGTCACCATCCCTGGAGGTGTTTAAGGGGGGTCTGGATCTGACACTGGAGGATCTGGTTTAGGGTTTGGGGGTTCAAGCAGTGACAGGTTAATGGTTGGACTTGATGATCTTAGAGGTCTCCTCCAACCTTGATGGTTCTATGCTTGAAACCAAAATGCCAGATCACTGAGCATGGAAGTCAAACTGAGAGAATCCACCAAAACCAGCTAGTTTTCACTATCCAGTCTAGAAAAGAGTCTAAAACTTGCACAGTGACATAATAAACTTTCCAAGATGAGATAAATGTCAATATTTAATGTAAAACATACTGATATAAAACCTATGAAGAGCGGAAAACCATTTAAAAAAACCCCACAACTCCGGGTATTAAGATACCCAAGATACCTACAACCTTAGCCTAAGCAATTCTTATGCTTGATAAGCATCATATGCTGTATGTCTGCACACACCATGCAGTTCCACCCTACTACCCCGAACAGCTAATATTCTGAGCTTTTCTAGGCATTTTTCAGTGTGGACCACATTTCTGATACACCCTAGTGAATACCTCTCTAGACACACATGAACCTGCAAATAACAGTCATGAAAATGAGGCATCTTTTATGTTGAGAAGTAATTGCCTTAGATCAGGTTCCACAGAAGTTACAAAACCAGTTGCAGTAGAAAGAACAGACAGAGTCCTTTACTCTAGCAGCAGCCAAGATGAAAATGCCAAGTTGATTTGATCCAATCTTTCTTCCTAGTAAACCTCTCAACATTATAATCATCTCTTGATGATGTAAGGCAAATGTTAGCTCAGAGAAGTCATAACCTGCTCTATTCTCTCCTATTGATAGGTTTGGAAGGGGTGGGTGACTTCCGTGTAACCCAGGGGAGATGGACTCTGCATGGCTGTGCTGACTGGACTTGCTAGGGATGCTGGCTGCCATGCCAAGTTGCAAATGCCTCTCCCTTTTCTTATGCAGGTCTTCTTGTCTTTGAAACCATACTCCTTTAAGAGAGCTCTTTCATTTTGCAGATTTTTTTTGGGAATTCGTGTTACTACTGTGTGGGAAAATTATGGCATAAGGTCTCATTGCTCTGCATGTACATAAAGCTACATACTCCCAGTGTGTCCCTAGTTTGTACCAGTAAGAAATACAGTTATCAACCAGCTAATACTAGTTCACAAAGAAAACTGTTATCTCACTGTAACAGCAACTGAAATTATTCACTTGCATCTAATATGGTGAGGTACATTTCCCCTTTCATGATTTAAGTTACAATTTCTTCTTTCCTCTGTACTGCTTAAAGCAGTTTGTGATGGTAGATATTAGTATGAAGAAATCACCCCCTGTAATTACCAAATTCTGATCAGATGACCTAGTTGTATTTTGCAAGCAATAGATAAAAACTAGAAAGCAGAGCAGTAGATTTATTAGAAAACAATTCTGATTATGTACAGGTAACCAAAACTAAGATGTAGCTTCTCAGACATCCCCAAGAACAGTCTAAATGTTTGTGATTCTCTTACCAGTGTTCGTGACCCCAGACTGGAACTCCTCAATGATTCTAGTTCTTCTGTCATCTTGGAAGCTAATGCTTGGAGATAGCCACGAGCATCCTTCTCATCACTCACCCTGTTGGGTAATTACAAAAACCTGTAACTCAGCAGCTTCATGGCTCACAGCACCCAATTCTGTACCACCAAATTATCAGAGTGTCTGCACCGCATTTAGGGACATAACAGAAACGGACAGAGCAGGGAAAACTCTCCCAGCAACAGAAAACTGAATACATCTTAGATTGCCTGCTCGAGATTTTGTCTTTTATCTGATTCTCTTGATTGTGGCAGTTGCTAAGGAAACCGAAGTTTCCCTTTTGCCATCAGCAACAGCTCTGCAAAGATTCACTGTTATAGTCTGGAACATGATCTGCACATTACTTGCTCAATTTTTATTAGGGATGCCATCCAGTCCTCCTTGTCTGGCATGCTGAAATAGCTGCACACAGCTTGCTAAAACAGCTAATTGTAGAGGGAAGAACAGACCTGTGAGACACTGTCCCAGGTTGCCCAGGGAGGCTGTGTCTGCCCCAACCCTGGCAGTGTTCACAGCCAGGTTGGCTGAGCCTTGAGCAACCTGCTCTGGTGGGAGGTGTCCCTGCCCAGGGCAGGGGTTGGGGCTGGATGATCCCTAAGGTCCATTCCAACCCTTAAATTCTATGATTCTATGAATGAAGTGCAACTGCTTCTCTAGTACATCTAAGTGAAGTTCTAGATGTTAACATCGATCTTTCAAATCATCTTCCTGAATGAATTTATCAAGATATTCCAAACTGGATGACTTAAGGATCACTTCAGCGACTGAAGAAAGACAATACCAAAACTCTCCTTTGTCCTTAATGGCATCTGACAATTTCACTTGTCATTACAGCTCAGCAATAGTGGAAAGAGGAAGAGAAAGTTAACCAACTCACAGAACTACCATGTTTCTGCTGCTCTCACACACAGAGCAAGGGCCTGGCTATACACTAAAAACCAAAGCACCAGTATTACAAAAGTTGGAAGTTGCCATATCTAGATGTCTGAACAGCACATACCACTGAATAATTTCTGCAATCTGAGCTTCCCAGTGAGCAACAGATTCCTTCTTGGCTGCTAGATCTTGGAGCTCATCTTCTAGCTGTCTGTTCTGTGCTGTTAGTTTGTCCACAAAGGAGCAGAGCTGAAACAAAAGATTAGTTTCACTTGTGACTGATGTCAGTTTCAGGCTTTTTACACCTAGAGAATCTGAACAAACAAGACCACCCTGGGCTATGAGGGAGTTCTAACACAGAGCAAAGAACTAGAAGAGGTTCTTGTTTTGTAGAACTGTCAGTTCACCCAAAATAATCCAAAACAAAGGAAAAGAAAATGCAAGTGTGGAGGTCACAGAGGGGAATGAGGTTTAACTGTAAGCCACCAGGAAGGCAGGCAGTCAAAGCTTCACTCTGTGCAGCCTTCATGAAGTAATCAGAGGGTAGTGTCCTCTGAGCTTTGGGAATCAATCCCACAAAGAGCTAAAGCTACTTCGCAGCCAAATCTTGGACATTTATATGGCGAACACATAGTGTTTTATTCAGACACCACCTGAAAATTCACAGATCCTGCTTTGATCAATGAGCAGACTGCTTAAACATCAGAAGGTAATGCAATAAGGATTATATTTTGCTTTAAAATGTTTCCTGAAATACTTACCCTCTCATTTTCTGTTGTTAGCTTTTTGTTATCTTCTAAGAGCAGAGATCTTTCACGCTCGTATTTCTCTTTCATTGATCCTACTGCTTCCTCCATTTCACTGTGCCTAAGGAGATGGACAAGAAATAGAAACATTTATACTGTAACTGAACTTATATACTGGGATTTTCAAAAGGGAATCAACAGAGTTAAGGTGAAATACAAGCCAGTACAGGCAACTATGCCATGCAACACAACACACAAACTCAAAAGAATCCACAGTGAAGGAATCATGCCCAAAAACTCACCTCTCTCGCTTTGTTTTCTCTAATTTATCCTTTAATATCATGATCTCTTTCTGTAGTGCAAGCTGATGGCTCTCTGAATCATGGACTTCCTTTTTCACATTCTTTACTTCCAAAACATGGGATGCTTCTCGTCGGACCAACTCCTCTTCATAAAACAAGATTTTCTTTTCCAGCTCAGACTTGATCTTGGAAAGCTCCTGCTGATGTTCTAGGGTGGCACCAGCTGCACGGCCTCCCTGCTTCAGCTGTGGAAGAAGAAGAGAAACCATCAGGAAGAGATTTCATATTTTGGGAATATTCTTCAAAGTCAGAATTGTCCAGCTCATGTCAGTTTGGAAAATTTATTATTTGGGCACAGAGTGATGCAAAAGGTGCTGTCTCCAAGCATTAAGCCCCAAAAGTGACTGCTCTGTGACATGGCCCTAATAAGGGTCTGTCCTGCCACGGCTGCAGGGAGATGACAGAGGGAATGGCCTTGAGCTGAGCCAGGGCAGAGTCAGATTGGATGTGAGGAGAAATGTTTTCCCGGGGAGGGGGTTGAGGCACTGGGATATTGCCCAGGGACGTGGTGGAGTCACCATCCCTGGAGGTGTTGAAGAGGTGTCTGGATCTGACACTGGAGGATCTGGTTTAGGGTTTAGGGGTTCCAGCAGTGACAGGTTAATTGTTGGACTCGATGATCTTAGAGGTCTCCTCCAGTCTTGATGGTTCTATGACTCTATGACAAGGGGTTAAAATGCATTATAAAGATAACAGATTTGGACCATGTTGGTTTAGTATCTGGCTAGAATTTATATAAACTAGGCATTTTCAAGATCTTAGTATCCAATGATTAAAATCTTTCAAGCCAAAAAAGGCAAACAAATCTCAATGGGTTAGGTCAGGTTGCTAGTAACACTGTAGTTTTTAAGTCTCCCACTGGTATCTACAGTTGAGTAAGCAAAACAATTGCAGCTCCTGGGTCATGAGTAAATATTTGCCAAAAAACATGTAACCTTTAGAGCTTCCAGTTCATTTTCCAGCTGTTTGGAGAAGACTTCGCTGTGCTCACGAAGTTTGCGTTCTTTTGATGCTTCTGCTACCACTTCTTCAAGTTGGGCTTCCAGCTGCAACGAGCAATTTTAGGTCACTTCAACACGAGAGAACACTATCTGCATCATTCATTTCCTTCCCTCCATATGGACTAGCAGCAAGTTTTGCTTATTTCTATTTTAAGCTACACCACTCTAACAATCATCTCGGAATGTCATGGTAATTGTTTTGCCTTCAGTGATCCAGGCACCCATCTGTCTCATGCAGCACAATGATTACTTCATGACTCTTTGTACTGACATGAACTACATCAAGTCCATTCAGGGATAACTGCACAGCTTCTAGCAAAACTCAGAGAAGGAAATGGCACTAGGAAGTCACTGCAGCTGTGAAAGAAGAGTCTCCCACATTTACGGATCAGCTCCATGCCTCAGTATCTAGTAAGACAGCTTAAAAATCTCAACCTTTGAGCCAAATTGCTGCAAAATACTTCAAATACAAACACTCAACATTTTTACCTTGCAATTATGGAACAAAATGAGCTTGATAATCCATTATTGACTGCAGAAAGCTTATCAGAATGACAATTCAGATTCAGTGGCAACTAAGACAACTGCTGCAGTTCAATAAATAGTGGCAGTTTCAAAAACTGACAGGAAGAGTAAGATTTGTTTTGCTGTGTTCAAACTAAACTAGCAAAGTTGTTTTTAAAAGGGTTGTATTTAGAACTGTGGGACAAGATAATGAACTTACAGACTATGTTGTGAAGAGAAGATTGATACAGCTGTTATGAAAGGGAGAACAGAAGAACTTTTAAGAACAAAGACAGGAGATTTTAAAGCTCTGCATGGAAGTTATCTAACAGAATAAGCAACAACACTTGAATGCCTGCTGCACTCTGCTCTAGAGATGAGATGCCACAGCTCTTTGCCAGTTCCCAGTTAACTACCACATCTTATTCATGGATAAAAGCCTGAGAAACTTCATCTCTTGCTACATTTTCATAGACTGCCCTTCAATTTGCTAGAAGCTTTCCAGCAATGTTTATAAAGCTCTTGATTTTCTCTTCTACACTTCACCCAGAGAATACATAAAAAATGATGATTTCTCAGTGATTAAAACACTCTGGATTAACCATAGCAGCTGTTTCTTATGCCCTCTCCTGGTTATCCACTTCGTCTTATGTAAAACTATAAATTGCCTAGAACACTGATTGGAAATTAACTTGCCTAAAGATATTACAGACACTCTTAAAATGCCTAGCCACAGAGGAAGGAAACCCACATATTTAGTCAGTATCACTATCCCTCCCTTCAGCTGAAGAGAAAAATTCAGCTGAAAAACCCAACAAAGTTAGAATATTCCATCCTCAAAAGACATGGAGACACTAAACTTTCTAGGTTTTGAGTTGACTGCAAGTCAGAGACTACAAGAATTGAAACACAAGAACTAATGTAACTAACAGTCCCAGCTTATTAGCTCTTGTGTTTTGATTCTTGTAGACTGACTCAAGCTGGGCATACAACAAGAAGAGTTTCTTGCAGATTCAAATCAGCCTGAGTAAAAAGTGAAAAAAAAAACCCAAAAAACCCCTGAAGACACTCTCAACTTTTCAAGACAAGCACACAGGAGATAAGCAGCAGCTGAAACATGTGGCTGTGAGCTACTTGACCAAGCTACCTCTTTCCTTATCTTCTCTGATTTCCGGACGTCCTGCCGCAGCGCATCAATTTTCTGCAGGCTCAGTTCCACCTCCTCCTCCTTGTCGCGGAGCTGCCGCGAGAGCTTCTGCTTCTGAGAGCGCAGGTCTCCCATCCTCTCACTCAGCTCAGAGAACTCCTGCACAGCCAGCTTCCTTTGCTGGTGGGCATCCCTCAGCTCCTTGGATTGCATCTTTAGCCTCTCTGAGGTTTCTACAAGTTGCTGGTTTAGATTAAAAAAAACCAGAATAAAAAGAGTCATTCGACACCATGTAGGTTTATTTCCAAGATCTGTATAAGCATGACTTGAAAGCTCAACCACCCCTCACATAACTTAGAACCACAGAACAGTCAAGGCTGGAAGAGACCTCTAAGATCATCAAGTCCAACCACTAACCTGCCACTGCTGGAATCCCTAAACTCTAAACCAGATCCTCCAGTGCCAGATCCAGACACTTCTCCACCACTTCCAGGGCTGGTGGCTCCACCACCTCCCTGGGCAATATTCCAGTACCTGAACACCCTCACAGGGAAAACATTTCCCCCAACATCCAGTCTAACTCTGCCCTGTCTCAGCTCAAGGCCATTCCCTCTAGACACGATGTCCCTCCTGGCTGTCAGGGCACACTGTGACTCATATTCAAGTTGCCATTGACCAGGACCCCCAGGACCCTTTCCAGCACTAACTTCCAGTCTCTCCTTCCCCAGTCTGTAGGTACAAGCCAGGGCTGTCTGTCTCAGGTGCAGAATCAGCACTTGCCCTTGTTAAAGTTCATATGGTTGGTGGTTCCCAGCTCTCTGATTTGTCTCTCTGCCTTCAAGGGGGTGAACAGCTCCTCACAATTTTCTATCATCTGCAAATTCACTTAACAGTCCTGCAATTTGAAATGAGAAGCTTATCAACTTCCAAAAAAGAAAGCACAGTACTGTGGAAAACTACTATACTGCTGAACAGGTTCCCTGGCATCTCAGTAAGTTTTCAAAAGCAGCATTTAAAACACAATATTGCAATCACAACAGAACTGTCCCATAACTACTTTGCATGACCATGTTCAGTTGTATCTGTCTCTGGATCAATACCTTATGAAGGTCCTCCTTTTCTTGCCTCAGTACTCTGCACTGTTTCTCTACTCCTTTCAACTTGTGTATAGATTCTTCATGTTCTTGTCGAAAAGCCACTGCATCTGCAAGCTGTGCTTCCAGTTTACTTATATCTGCAGGTTAAGACATATTAAAGGTAACTGATCCCAAATCAACACTAATAAAACAAGCAACATCACTCAAGCAAACTGGCATCACTTCACTTGGAAAATCAACTTCTTTCCCGTTCCCACCATTTTAGACTGTTTAAGGTCATTTTGGGGCATTGACACCTCCAAATAATTAAAGTTTTCTCAGCCCATTAAAGAAATCCTCCCAAAGATGGTTATCACTAAGTGAAACAGCCTTAGCACAGGGCTTTGCTTTGGGTTTGAGGAATGCAACTTCCACCCCCTGAAAGCTTTAAAATAAACTTGAGTTCTTCTCCTCCTACTTGTAGTAATGTATCTCCTAGCTCTCATTATGCAATGAGCAAGGCTACAGTTAGTCAGCCATCAGTGCACCCAGCAACACAGCCAAGGACTATTTATTTCTTAGCCTAGGTGAGAATGGTCTGGGAAGAAAATACCATCCTGCCGGAGGCAAGCTGGAGAGCTGACCACCCATATTCCTGGCAGGTGGCTCTCCTGGCAGTACAGTCCTCTCTGTACTCTCAAAGAAAAGTAAATGAATTTGATTTGAAATTATCACTTTTAAGTGAAAAAAACCCCTACCCATCTCAGTATTTCTGTTCAGTCTTAGAACTGGTAAGAAAACGAACTGCCATTCTCCCCTTTGTTTTCATTACTACTTCTTTTAAACCGGGAATAACTGTCTCACTTGAGTTCCACTGATGTCTGTGGCAGAACAGGAAACTGGATCTATGTATTCAGGGATCCCCAGCACTGCTGCAATGCTTCAAGGATTATTCCTTTCCTCACTTCAGCACAAACTTCCTCCTACCCTAGATGAACCAATACTACTACATTTTAAATCAGACCATGCTGCTAGAGTTAATATATTTAACAGGACACAAATGGCTGAAGAGGTAGATAAACCTGAACCATTTGCAGAAGTAGCACCTTAATCACAGAATCAGGCTGGAAGGGACCACAATGAGTCATCTGGTCCAACCTCCCTGCTCAAGCAGAGCCATCCCAGAGCACATGGATCAGGACTGCATCCAACCCAACTACTGTGCTTCAAACCCAATTTCAGAATACCCAAGAACAGCTTTTCTTTGGAAGGATAATCTGTGTAGGAGCGCTGAGCTGATTTCTTGCAATGCATACACCTACAAAAAGGATATACTGCCAAACTAATGGTGAAAAAAAATATATAAAAAGATCAGCAACTCAGCATCTATCTTATGCTATACTGCAGGGCCCTGTAACACTCCCAGCCAAGTCATTAGGATTCCAAACTACCACTTTGTTTAGCACTGATTCCTACTTAAAAATTAGGCACTAACAGGAGATTTATATGGATAAACTAATAGCATTGTCAAGGAACAGATTTTCAGTGCTATGGATGAGTCAGTCCTCCCTCAGGACAGCCGCCAGTGTTTGTTTTCCTGCAACACTTGGTGCTTCCTAATTAATGCAGCCCCAAACAGAAACACAAAGGGAGCAGGAGCTCGGAAGTATTTAAATGTGAACTATTATTATACATCCCCTTATGTTACCTTCTCTCTCCCCTGTCTCTTACACCTGTCTCCAAGTAAAACCCCTCCAAAACAACACTCCCCCAAAAAATGAGGTATAAGAGAACAGGATCTCCTGAGATTTTCAGGGAAACCAACAACACACAGAATATTTCACTGAATCCATCCACACAATTCACTGCACTCTAGGCTTCTCATGCTAGTACATGCTATGAGGCCAAGAAAGTGGGAGAAGTTAAGCTCTCATATCTGGATAAACTGAAATGCCCCTTAATAGTGAAGGAGGCTTTAAAAACCACTTTAAGTACCTCAGAAACATTAATTCTGCTTACTGCAAAACCACAGCAGATCGTGTTACTAGAAGCAGCAAAATAAATTGCATTACTGTAATTACCATGCCAGAGGCTTACCTGTTAATTTGTTCTTCAACCGTTCAATTTCTTCGTTTAATTTTTTAATCTCCTTATCACGGCTTGCATTGACTGTAACACATACTGGACCTTGGAGGTTCTGCACTGTCTGTGTAGATTCTTGAGATCAGAGAAGAAAGGCAGAGAGTTTCAATCAAACAGGTTCCAATTCCTCCCAACGAACAGGACTAAGAATCCAAACAAACACAACACTAACCTTGCAGTTTTCTGTTCAAATCCTGCTTTTCTTGCTCTAATTTCCGTATTTTCTTTTCATAGCCTTCTATTTGTGAGGTGTTCTTCAAATCACGCTGCACATCCGTGTCTTTGGTTACTGTGTCAGACTGCATCACACTCTTTAAAGTGCCTCTATCAGATAAAGAGCTAAACACAAAGACATAAGTCAGAACATTCTAATAAATGCTCACAGCAGTCCCTAGCAGTGACATGCTGGGATTCCTCCAAACACACACCTCAAAACTACAAAAACTATTAGTGCAGTAATTGTTATTGTTGAGACAACTCTCAGGGTAAAGTCATTAATCATCACCTACTGTGTATGCTCCTGTAGAATGAAGATCACAGAATCCAAGGCTGGAAGGGATCCCTGAGGATCATCCAGTCCCACTCCTGCCCTGCACAGACATCCCTGACAATCACACCCTGTGCCTGAGGGCATTGGCCAAACACCTCTGGAGCTCTGTCAGCCTTGGGGCTGTGACACTGCCCTGGGGAGCTGTTCAGTGCCCAAACACCTCTGGGGGAAGAAGAACCAGTTGCTAATCTCCAGCCTAACCCTCCCCTGACACAACTTCAGCCCATTCCCTGGGTCCAGTCCATGGTGGCCAGAGAGAAGAGGTCAGAGCTGTCCCTGCACTTCCTTCCCTGAGGAAGAGATATCTATGGACATCAACTTTTCTACATGTTTATAACATGAGAATTTCCTACAATTAGCTGCATTTAGAAAACAAGTTTAATGAACAACATATCCTTTGCTTACCTATCAGTTGTGTATGTAAACCCAACGAATGGTAAATGCAATCCAGAAAAGCCCGTGTGAGAACTTGGTGGCACCACATCCTGCATGGAAACAACACGAGTGAAAACCCAACAACTCATACAGAGTGAAAGGCATTTGATTTAGCCTCAACAGCTAAAAGAGACACAGCTAATGGTAAGACTTTTCTTAGTACACCAACTGACAATAGGCAGTTATGCTCCATTGTCCCTGGACAAGTTTTATTTCAGATTAGATCACTTTATATAATGACCTGAATTCAGGAGCCTCTTGAACTGGCACTGGAAAGAGCAACATTTCAACAAGTTCAAAGCACAATGCAGCCAGTAAATGACAACCCTAAATTTCAAGTTCCTAATTAGAAGTGACCTGGCACCAGAATGCATGCTGTTAGCTTTAGTGCTCCAGCTACTGTTAGACACGTCATCAAAAAACATGCCAAAAGCTCCTCATTTCTTGGAATACAAGCTGATGAACCAATTACCACAAAGCTCTCTGCTCCTCATGAGTGGAGTTTGTAAACGACTACCCAGGGAAATGGAGCGGAACAGCAATGTTCCCAACTCCAAAATCCAACCTCTTGCTTCTTAAGTGAGTGGACAAGTAGCAGTGTGAGTCCTCCCACCTGGACAGCTGTGATTGCAACTGCATATATAGATAGATAGAGATAATATATATATAGAATATATAGAGAATATATGTGTGTTTCTAAAGACAGATGATTTTTTCCATCTTTTTAAAGGAATAAATCCTTCTTGAAAAGGTAAACTGAAAGGGCAACTAAGGAAGCTTTATTTCCTCACCTAAATATTGACTGACCATGTAATTTTGGCAAGTGCTGCTCATGATTTTAGATAACCCAAAACACCAGAGATTAAAAACCTGGATTTTTCACATTTGAAGTGACTTATTTTTCATCTCTTACATTATCTGTTTTGCAATCAGTCCTCACTACTACTTCATAGTGCCACAAAGCTGCAGACTTCATTTGTCATATTTATAAACAAAGACTCACTGGATTTCTTAGTACATCATCATCCACGTCGAAGTTGGAGGTGTCAGAAGGGCTGCTAACTTCTGGAATGTAAGGTGCTTCTAGGTTTCGGATGTTATCCCAATTAAGTCCTTCAAAAAATGCATGAGACTTAAAATCCTCTATCCCATTCTGTCCCAGCCTGCGCTCCCTGCTGCAGATAAGTCGCTGAATCAGATCTTTTGCTTCTTCAGACACATCTGTAACATGGGATGGAAACTGAAATCGTTCCTAGAAGCAAAACAAACAGAGAAATTTTTAGAGAAGGAATCCATTCCATCACTTTCAACAGCAATTTCAAAAAGAACATTCTAAATTACACCAATAAAACTGGAAATGAACAGTCACATACTGTCCTAGCTCCAGTGAGCAGAGGCAGAGCACAGTTCAATACATTCAGTGAGAGACTTTTTGTCTTAAAATGGATTTTCAGGACAGGAAATCACCTTTCAATTTCTTTAGCACAGATCTGTTTGAAACTAGCTGTGATTACAGTAACTCTCCTAGGAAAAGCAAACTTTTTTTTTTTTAAGACATACCGGAATTTTAACACACTACAATATATTAAAAATCACACAATAAAGGCAGAGCCTCACTGGTATTCTTAGTCAGAGGTCCATTGATCTCCTGAAGAGGTACACCTTGAGGTTTAACTAATTTCAGCTCCTAAAACCCCAGGATGGCAGTCAATTCTTTACAGAATATTTATATTTAAAGATGTATTTTTCTAATTTATAGGTTAAATCCCTGCTTTTCCTACCAAAATATCATCTAGATTTAGAAAACATTTCTATTAGCAGCAACAAACATAAGATCTAAAAATTGTAATTACCACTAACAACTGAAATTACTCCAGGGAGAAAAAAATTGGGAAAACTTTACTTGTATTTTAGCTTGCTACTACTACCACTATGGGGTCAAGAAGGGCTTTTGGATGGGTTTTTGTTTGGTTTTGTTTGTTTTGCAATAAAAGACAACAGCATATTTATATTATAGAATCACAGAGTGGTTTGGCTTCAAAGGCCACCTAATTTCAATCC